AGCTGAGGTGGGTGAATCCTTTGAGGTCAGGAGTGCAAGACCAGCCTGGCCAACATGGTGAAACCCTGTCTCTACTAAAAAATACTAAAATTAGCTGGGCATGGTGGCATATACTTGTTATCCCAGCTACTTGGGAGGCTGAGGCAGGAGAGTTGCTTGAACACAAGAGGAAGAGGTTGCAGTGAGCCGAGATCACACCACTGTTCTACAGCCTGGGCAACAAGCAAGACTTCATCTCAAAAAAAAAAAAAACAAAAAACAAAAAACAAATGCCCCACTTTATCACTTATAAGTGGGATCTAAACATTAAGTGCACATGGACACAAAGAAGTGAACAATAGACACCTGGGCCTACTTGAGTGTGAAGCGTAAATAAAAAAATAAAAATTCACATTTTCAAGTCCTCGCCTCCATCTGAATCAGAAACTCCAGAGGTGGGATCCAGTAATATGTATTTTAACATCTCTAAATCCATAGTCAACGTCGGACAACCAGTGATTCAGAAAATATGTAGGATGCTGTTGTTGATCAAGGAACCATCTAGAAGTGAATTTAGACATTCAGGTACACTTCAGGAAGGGAAGTCTTGAATTTACAGATTGGCTCAGAACTAGGTATTAACCGGTCTGAACTGGATGAAAGCTCCGGGAATCATTTGGTTCTGGACTAGAACTGAGCTGTTCTCTGGAGGAGGAGCAGCAAGGCAGACTTCTCAAAAGACTAGCATTTTTCATGGTTTCTCTCATCTGAAGAAAGAGCAGAGCCCCTTGAGATATGGAAATGGAACCAGTATATCTGCATGGTTGAAAAGAGGGCATTGAGACATCTGATGTCCACTGCAGATGGCATTCCCTAGAAAGATGCTTGGCTTCCAAGGGAGTATTGAATGAAACAAGACACAGGCTGTTCTGATTCAGCCAGGAAAACCTGCTAATTTTGACAAGGCCATTCCATAGGGAAAGTCATGTTACTCCAGTGTCAGTTGCCCTAAGAATCTGGACGTGGGAGTTACCAGATTTTACCCCCTGGATTCTGCTGGGCAGCTGAGCCAAGCCCAGTTCTAACTGGAACTAGAACTGGGCACTGCAGTGAGGACATCCAGATTACAGGCAGCTATTTAAGACTTCATTCTTTGTAGGTTTGCAAATAGTCTCTTATGTACAATAAGCTGATCAACTTGTACCATTTTATGAGCATATATAGGTTTGTTACTGAGTTTATCTGAGGGCCTTTTTGGATTTGAAAGTATTAATCTAGGCCGGCCATGGTTGCTCACACATGTAATCCCAGCACTTTAGGAGGTGAGGCGGGAGGATCAGTTGAGGAGTTCGAGACCAGCCTGGGCAACAAAGGGAGACCCTGCCTCTACAAAAAATGTTTACAGGTGGGGCTCAGTGGCTCACGCCTGTAATCCCAGCACTTTGGGAGGCCGAGGCAGGCAGATCACCTGAGGTTGGGTGTTCAAGACCAGCCTGACCAACATGGAGAAACCCCATCTCTACTAAAAATACAAAATTAGCCAGGCATGGTGTTGCATACCTTTTATCCCAGCTATTTGGGAGGTTGGGGCAAGAGAATCGCTTGAACCTGGGAGGTAGAAGTTACAGTGAGCTGAGATCGCACCATTGCAGTCCAGCCCGGGCAACAAGAGCGAAACTCCATCTCAAAAAAATTTTTTTCATTAGCCGGGCATGATAGTATGTTCCTGTAGTCTCAGCTAGCTGGGAGGCTGAGGTGGGAGGATCATATGAGCCTGGAAGGTTGAGGCTGCAGTGAGCCATGATTATGCCTCTGCAGTACTCCAGCCTGGGTGACAGAGCGAGATTATGTCTCAAAAAATTTTAAAAAGAAAAAAGGATGGGTCTAGCAGGTTTGAAATGGCTAAGATGATTGACCTTGCCTAATTGTACATTCCTGACCAGCTGCATCCCTTTAAAAGGGAGTCATGGAGGTGTGGGTCAAGGAGACATTCAGGAAGAGTCCTGGTTTCTTAAGTATGTGACTCAGACTCAGGATTGATTCAGTTACCTAGGGCACAGGGTCGGGTCTCAGCCTTCGGAAGAACTCGGGGGTTAGATTTGGTGCAGATCAGCATCAAGTCTAATCTGCAGGCCAGGGCCAGATTAGCAGCAAGTCTGACATGCCACATCCTAGAATTGTGGACTAGAAGTGAACAAGTCACTTCTGTCAGATTCATTTGGGGCTTTGAGACTGAGGCAAAATTGAGTGTGAGGGGTGTGAATATGTTGTGGGGGGGATATGTGAACATGAACGTGTTACTGGGGAATAGAGATGGAAGCAGTTGTCATGTAGCTTTGGTTGGATGGAGTGGAGGGAACAGAGCCAGGAAGAAAGAGGCTAGTTACTATGTTTTCAGAGCTACTAACCATTCTCATCTGTCCTGGATTGATTTTTTTGCCGGTGACTGTCTTAAAGTTTAGCACTCGGGACTAAAGATAGTATCAAGAAGAAGTCTGATAGGACTTCGTGCTTTCGACACTGTGCTTCAGTAATGGGCTCCAAATTCACAATAATTTTTGGCAGTCTTAGCAAGTTGTTGATTCATAGATTCAAGTCAACTAAGATCCCTAATTCTTATGTACTCCTGTTAAGTTTCATCTGGTGCTTCTAAAATTGATTTACTTGCACTTTTCCTTAAATTTCATTTTGTTAGATTTAATGTGCACTACCATTTGTTGAGTCTTTATGTCCCAGGAACTTTACAAATATTACTTTCTCCTGTCTTACAATTTCGTCTAGTATTACCCCCATTTTATAGATATCAAAATTAAGGTCCAGAGAAGTTAAGTAACTTGCCTGGATTCTAAACAGTAAGTGACAGAATCTGGTACACAAACCTTTGGCTACCTGACTGCAAATCCTGTTGGTTTTGAGTACCATTCTAGCCCGTTCCAACCAGTTTTGATCTTAGCTAAAGGCCTTCCTTCTCTATGGTCAACATGACCCAATGACCTTGTCTAAATCTTTTATGGGCCCATATCTAGTTTGCCAGTGACTCTTAAAGTTTAGCACTCAGAACTGAAGACAGCCTAGGTGCTTTTCGACTTACTCTGAGGTTATGTCCCAATAAACCCATCGTAAGTTCAAAATATAGTAAGTCGAAAATGCATTTAATATACCTAACCTACTGAGCATAGCTTATCCTATGATGTTCAGCTCATTTCTGAGCCTTAAACATGCTCAGAGGACTTACATTAGCCTAGAATTAAGCAAGATCATTTAACACAAAGCTGATTTTATAATTAAGTGTTGAGTATCTCATGTAATTTATTGAATAGTGAAAGTGAAAAACAAAATGGTTGTAGGGGTGTCAAAGTATAGTTTCTACTGAATGCTTATCACTTTTGCACCATTGTAAAGTTAAAAAAATTTTTTTTTTTGAGATGGAGTCTTACTCTGTTACCCAGGCTGGAGTGCAGTGGTACAATCTGAGCTCATTGCAATCTCCACCTCCCAGGCAAGTTCCAGCAATTATTCTGCCTCAGCTTCCCATGTAGCTGGGACTATAGGCATGCACCACCATACCCAGCTAATTTTTGTAGTTTTAGTAGAGACAGTTTCACCATGTTGGTCAGGCTGGTCTCAAACTCATGACCTCAAGTGATCTGCCCACCTTGGCCTCCCAAAGTGCTGAGATTACAGGTATGAGCCACCATGCCTGGCTAAATTCAAAAAATTATGTCAGACCATCATAAATTGGGGACCGTCTGTATTAGAGATGAGGTCTGATAAGCCTCCTTGTTTCTGATGCTGTGCCTTTATATTGTGCTCATTGCCATTAAGGGGACTGGGCCAGAGACAGATGCTGAGTAAATTAATGGAAAGAGCATGGGGTGACCAGCCTGGCCAACATAGCGAAACCCCCTTTCTACTAAGAATAGAAAAATTAGCTGGGCTTGGTGACACGCGCCTGTAGTCCCAGCTACTCAGGAGGCAGAGGCAGGAGAATTGCTTGAACCCACGCAGGAGGCAGAGGTTGCAGTTAGCCGAGATCATGCCCCTGCACTCCAGTGTGGGTGACAGAGAGAGACTGCATTTCAAAAACAAAGAGCATGGGCTTTAGAGTTAGATTTCGTTTTGCAATCTCGGTTGTACCATGGGAAGTAGTGTGACTTGGTAAAATCTTTAACTTCCCTTGGCCTTTATTTCCTCATATTTAATATGTCTTAATAGCCCTGGGCAGGGTGGTTGGTGCATGCCTGTAGTACCAGCTACTCTGGAGGCTTGAGGCAGGAGGATCCCTTGATCCCAGGAGTTTGAGGTGAGCCTGTGCAACAGTGAGATTTTGTCTCTGAAAAAAATTTTTAAAATCTTAATATCTACAAATGGGCCTGTTGGAAATGTTGAATAAAACGGATGTGAAGTACTTGCCCAGCACACTGTAAGCACTCAGTAAACATTGGCCTGTTTCCGTCCTTCCAGGCCATTCCTTTAAAATCTTGATTTTTGACCAGGCATCATCGCTCATGTCTGTAATCCCAACACTTTGGGAGGCCAAGGCAGGAAGACTGCTTGAGCCTAGTTCAAGAGCAGCCTGGGCAATACAGTGACAGCCTGTCTCAACAAGAAAGAAAGAATGTAAAAAAAAAAAAAAAAAAAGAAAAAAGAAAAAAGGCCGGGCGCAGTGGCTCAAGCCTGTAATCCCAGCACTTTGGGAGGCTGAGGCAGGTGGATCACAAGGTCAAGAGATCGAGACCATCATGGTCAACATAGTGAAACCCTGTCTCTACTAAAAATGCAAAAAGATTAGCTGGGCATGGTGGCGCGTGCCTATAATCCCAGCTACCTGGGAGGCTGAGGCAGGAGAATTGCCTGAACCCGGGAGGGGGAGGTTGCGGTGAGCCGAGATCGCACCATTGCACTCCAGCCTTGGTAACAAGAGTGAAACTCCGTCTCAAAAAAAAAAAAAAAAAAAAAAAAGAAAAGAAACAAAAACTTTTTCTTTTTTAAAAAATTTATTAAATTTTCTTTTAATTCAGTCTCCATAGAGACTGTCAGAAGTCACCAATACCAACTATATTGAAAGTCGTCACAGCAGGGTATTGGGAAAAGTTTTCAATTAGCAATCACACCTCGGATAAACCTCATTGGCTATGATACTGCCATTTCGCAAAGCTAAAAAAAGAAAAATAAATCTTTTTTTTTTTTTTAATGTCCTTTAAAATTGACTCCACCTTTCTAGTTGCTAATGTCCCACTTCACCCCCGCCATGGAGCCTTGCCCTGTTGCCCAGGCTGGAATGCAGTGGCACCGTCTTGGCTCACTGCAACCTCTGCCTCCCGGATTCAAGCAATTCTCTTTTCTCAGCCTCCCAAGTAGCTGGGACTACAGGCACATGCCACCACACCTGGCTAATTTTTTGTGTTTTTTTAGTAGAGACCGGGTTTCACCGTGTTACCTGGGCTGGTGGTGAACTCCTGAGCTCAGGCAATCTACCTGCCTCGGCCTCCTAAAGCGCTGGGATTACAGGTGTGAGCCACCATGCCCAGCTGAATTTTTTATATTTTTAGTAGAGACGGGGTTTCACCTTGTTAGCCAGGATGGTCTAGATCTCCTGACCTCCTGATCTGCCTGCCTCAGCCTTCCCAAAGTGCTGGGATTGTAGGTGTGAGCCACTGGCCGACTTCTAATGGTTTTTGTTTGTTTGTTTGTTTGTTTTTGAGACGGAGTTTCACTCTTGGTACCCAAGCTGGAGTGCAATGGCGTGATCTCGGCTCACCGCAACCTCCGCCTCCTGGGTTCAAGCAATTCTCCTGCTTCAGCCTCCCGAGTAGCTTGGACCACAGGTGTGCACCACCATGCCCAGCTAATTTTTGTATTTTTAGTAGAAACGGGGTTTCACCATGTTGACCAGAATGGTCTCGATCTCTTGACCTCGTGATCCACCCTCCTCGGAGTCCCAAAGTGCTGGGATTAAAGGCGTGAGCCACCGCGCCCGGCCTCTACTGGTTTTTTAAGGCTGTGTTTGGGTGTGATTGTTTGCCAGTAGGGCTATCATCTGCCCCCTTGTGGCAGCACACTTGGTTACAGAAAGTAGTGGTTAAGAAGTACGGTTGGCCCTCTATATGTTTGGATCCCGCATCCATGGATTCAGCCAAATACAGATAAAAAATATTCAGGGAAAAAAACTAATAAAAATAGCAATACAGATCGGGCGCAGTAGCTCACGCCTGTAAACCCAGCACTTTGGGAGGCCGAGGCCGGTGGATTGTGAGGTCAAGAGATCAAGAACATCCTGGCCGACATGGTGAAACCCAGTCACTACTAAAAATACAAAAATTATCTGGGTGCGACACCTGCCTATAATCCCAGCTACTTGGGAGGCTCAGACAGGGGAATCGCTTGAACCCAGGAGGCAGAGATTGCAGTGACCCGAGATAACGCCACTGCACTCCAGCCTGGCAACAGACCGAGACTTCATCTCAAAAAATAAATAAACAAGTAAAGTATATGGGAGCTGATTGCAGTGTCTTCAGCCTTAGCAACAGAGTGAGACTCTCAAAAAATAAATAAATAGGCGGGGCGCAGTGGCTCATGCCTGTAATCCTAGCACTTTGGGAGGCCGAGATGGGTGGATCACCTGACGTCAGGAGTTCAAGACCAGCCTGGCCATCATGGTGAAACCTCATCTTTTAAAAAAGAAAGAAAGAAATAGACTGGGCATAGTGGTTCATGCCTGTAATCCCAGCACTTTGAGAAGTTGAGGCAGGCAGATCATGAGGTCGGGAGATCGAGACCATCCTGGCCAACATTAGGAAACCCTATCTTTACTAAAATACAAAAATTAGCAGGGCATGGTGGTGCATGCCTGTAATCACAGCTACTTGGGAGGCTGAGGAAGGAGAACCGCTTGTACCTAGGAAGTGGAAGATACAGTGAGCCAAGATGGTGCCACTACACTCCAGCCTGACGACAGAGCAAGACTCTATCTCAAACAAACAAACAAATAAATAAAGTATATGGGAGCTGATTGCAGTGTCTCGAGCCTGCAATCCCACCCACTTGGGAGGCTGAGGTGGGAGGATTGCTTGAGCCCAGGAGTTAGAGGCTGCAGTGAGCTTCCATTGGGCCACTACACTCTAGCCTGGTGACAAAGCAAGACCCTGTCTCTTAAAAAAGTATGTGGAAGAATGTGCATAGATTGTATGCAAATACTATGCCATTTTATATGAAAGTTGGGCATCACAGATTTGGTATCTGAAGGCAGTCCTGGAACAAATTCCCCACGAATACCAAGGAATTATTGCATTCTGCAGATTTCTGTGCGATTATGGGTGAGATGCCTAACCTTTTTCTGCCTCAGTTTCATCATATGTAAAATGTGGTTAATAATAGTACTTGACATAAAAGATTATTGTGAGTATTAAATAAGTTGGCTGGGTGTGGTGGCTCATGCCTATAATCCCAGCACTTTGGGAGGCCAGGGCGGGTGGATCACCCGAGGTCAGGAGCTCGAGACCAGCCTGACCAACATGGAGAAACCCACAAAAAATACTTTGTATTTGTAAAAATACAAAATTAGACAGGCGTGGTGGTGCATGCCTGTAATCCTAGCTACCTGGGAGGCCGAGGCAAGAGAATCGCTTGAACCTGGGAGGCAGAGGTTGCGGTGAGCCAAGATCACACCATTGCATTCCATTGCATTCCAGCCTGGGCAACGGGTGAAACTCCATCTCAAAAAAAAAAAAAAGTTAATATATGTAAAGTTCTTGGAAAAGCGCCTGGCAGCTAGTGCTGTTTAGTTTTTGCTCCTATTAATATTGTAAACTACAGATAATAATGCCCATTTTGTTTATAAGAATTAAATGAAGTCGCTAGGTACAGTGGCTCACACTTGTAATCCCAGCACTTTGGGAGGCTGAGGCAGGTGGATCATCTTAGGTCAGGAATTCAAGACCAGCCTGGCCATCATGGTGAAACCCTGTCTCCACTAAAAATGCATAAAATAGGCCGGGCGCGGTGGCTCAAGCCTGTAATCCCAGCACTTTGGGAGGCCGAGGTGGGTGGATCAAGAGGTCAAGAGATCGAGACCATCCTGGTCAACACGGTGAAACTCCGTCTCTACTAAAAATACAAAAAAATCAGCTGGGCGTGGTGGCGCGTGCCTGTGATCCCAGCTACTCAGGAGGATGAGGCAGGAGAATTGCTTGAACCCAGGAGGCGGAGGTTGCGGTGAGCCGAGATCGCCTCGCGCTATTGCACTCCAGCCTGGGTAACAAGAGCGAAACTCAGTCTCAAAAAAAAAAAAAAAAGAACTCTATACCCAGTAGGGGCCAGGTGTGGTGGCTCATGCCTGTAATCCTAGCACTTTGAGAGGCCGAGGCAGGCAGATCACTTGAGGTCAGGTGTTTGACAACAGCCTAGCTAACATGGGGAAACCCAGTCTCTACTAAAAATACAAAAATCAGCCGGGTGTGGTGGTGCACACCTGTAATCCCAGCTACTTGAGAGGCTGAGACTGGAGAATTGCTTGAACTCTGGAGGCCGAGGTTGAGTCATTACACTTCAGCCTGGGTAACAGTGCGAGACTCTGTCTCAAAAAAAAGAGAACTCTATACCCAGTAAACATTAGCTGTTGTTAAGGTCTGGTGTTACTTAAAGCAGTGTAGTAAACTTTACACGATGCTTTCAAGGATAGCCAGTTATTTGATCCTATGAGACAGGCATAGGCAAGTTGTTTTCCTTTTTTGGATGAGAAAATGAATGGCACAGAAGAGTTTTTTTTTTTTTTTTTTTTTGAGCCAGAGTCTTGCTCTGTCACCCAGGCTGGAGTGCGGTGGCACAGTCTCTGCTTACTGCAACCTCTGCCTCGCTGGTTCAAGCAATTCTGCCTCAGCCTCCCGAGTAGCTGGGATTATAGCTGCCTGCCACCATGCCTGGCTAATTTTTGTATTTTTAGTAGAGATGGTGTTTTACCATGTTGGCCAGATTGGTCTTGAACTCCTGACCTCATGATCCATCCCCCTCAAGCTCCCAAAGTGCTGGGATTACAAGCATGAGCCACTGCGCCCTGTCTTTTTTTTTTTTTGAGACAGAATCTTGCTCTGTTGCCCAGGCTGGAGTGTAGTGGTGCCATCTCAGCCCACTGCAACCTCTGCCTCCCAGGTTTAAGCCATTCTGCTTCAGCCTCCTGAGTAGCTGGGACTACAGGTGCACGCTACCACATCCAGCTAATTTTTTTGTATTTTTAGTAGAGATGGGTGTCACCATTTGGCCAGGCTGATTTCAAACTCCTGACCTCAGGTAATCTACCCACCTTGGCCTCCCCAGAGTGCTGGAGTTACAGGCATGAGCCACCATGCTTGGACTGGCACAGGTGTTTTTTACTTTCCTGAGTCAGAATTCTGCTGTGGCAGAACTGGTCTTCAATGTAGGATCACTGGTGCTTCATCTAGAACTCGTATTCGTAACTGTCTCCTGACAACACTTAGTTATTGGCTATCAGACTTTTAAGGATCATGTGGTTACTTTCTTCTTGAAACCCTTTCAGTTTTTCACCTAGTATTTCTCATTGGTCTGGATAAAGTCCAGTGTAGTCATTTTATCATTTTAGGATGAAACTGTCAGCAAGAATTTATCAGGCTTTCTGCACCCACTCACCCTTTTTAAGGTAAATGTGATATCCGCTAAATGTCAAAGTTCATGAAATTTCCTGTTTCTTTTTTTTTTGAGACAGAGTCTTGCTGTGTCACTGAGGCTGGAGTGCAGGCGCACAATCTCAACTCCCTGCAACCTCCGCCTCCTGAGTTCAAGCAATTCTGTCTCTGTCTCCTGAGAAACTGAGACTACAGGCACATGCCACCATGCCCGGCTAATTTTTTGTATTTTTAGTAGAGACGGGGTTTCACCATGTTAGCCAGGATGTTCTCCATCTCCTGACCTCGTGATCCACCCACCTCGGCCTCCAAAAGTGTTGGGATTACAGGTAGGAGCCACTGTGCCCTGCCAAAGTTTCCTATTTCTTCTTTTTTAAATTTTTTTTTGAGATGGAGTCTTGCTCTTGCCAGACTGGAGTGCTGTGGCTCGATCTCGGCTCACTGCAACCTCCGCCTCCCTGGTTCAAGCAGTTCCCCTGCCTCAGCCTCCTGAGTAGCCAGGACGACAGGTGCATGCCACT